CTGCTTACTCCGGCTCCTTCAACAGCTACCTTGATGCTGAACTTTTTTTGGGAAAGATTCATGCTGCACTACTCAAGCTCTGCACAACCTCAGCTCAGGGGACGGACCACATTACTAACAAGGCTCTCCGCCACCTAGATACCGCCTCCCTCTAATCCCTTACCAACCTTCTCAACAAACATTGGCAGGCTGGTACTCTTCCCCCCTCCTGGACCCATGCACGTGTCTCTTTCATCCCCAAACATGTCAAACCCATTTCCCTCGAGCACCTCCGCCCGATCTCTCTGACATATTGCCTTGGCAAGCTGTTTGAGCATGTCATCGCGGCCTGCCTCCAAACCTACTTGGACGACCATAACCTGTATCCCTACTCCATGTTCGGGTTTCGTCTGCAGTTGTCTAACCAAGATGTCATGCTCCAACCAGCTCTCCAAGGATGTCTTATACCCATCCCACCAAAAACGCACTCGAGCTATCCTGACGCTGGACCTAACCAAAGCATTCGACAATGTACACCACACAGCTATTCTGGACGCTCTCTCCTCCCTTGACATCGGACACCGTGTACATGCTTACATTACTGCTTTCCTCACCTACCGTGCAGCAGAAATTTCATATGGCCCACTTTCTTCTTCTTTTTCTTTAAGCAGCAATGGTACTCCCCAAAGCTGGGTACTGTCCCCTCATCTTTTTAAGATTAACCTCTTCCAACTGGCACGCAAGCTTAGCACAATATCAGCTCTATCTTATGCTTTCTATGCCGATGACATCACTTTTTGGATGACCACCGGCAATCTTGGCGACATGGAGACCATTCTCCAGTCGGGTGTGGATGCGGTGACATCTCACGCCCGAGCTATCGGGTTGAGCTGCTCTGCGACCGAATCGGGGCTTTTGCTCCTCCTGCCTCAGGGAGTGGCTCCCCTGTCTCCTTCTCCACTCACCGTCTTCGTTGATGGCACACCACTTCCTCTCGTCTCTACCCTTTGCATCCTTGAACTCTTTCTTCAGTCCAGTGGTAAGCACACTACCCTCATCATTCAACTCAGTAACACTGTACACCAGACCATGCACTTCATACCCCGCATTGCGAACCGCCAACACGGCATGCGCTATTCGTACCCGCTTAGATTATGGGGCCGTTGTCTATCAGTCTGCCACTCAAAGTGCCTTGAAGATGCTGGACCCCGTGCACCATTTGGGCATCCGCCTTCCTACGGGTGCTTTTCGCACCAGCCCCGTAGAAAGCCTTTATGTTGAGTCAAATGAGTGGTCGCTTCATCTGCAGAGAACTTACATGTCCTTTGTTTATTTCCTTAAGGTGAAAGCAGACAAGAAGCACCCCTCATACTCTACAATTAATGATTTGTCGAGCTCAACTCTGTTTCAAAACAGGCCTTCGATGAGGCAGCCGTTCTCAGTTCGCCTGAAGTGTCTAGCTGAAGAAACTGAAGTGTCACTTGAACACAGTTTAATGGCTCCTGTAGCATACCCGCCACCGTGGCAGTGGCAGACTATAGACTGCGATGTGTCTTTCCTAGAAGTTACAAAACATGCACCCATTGCCCATATCCAAACATACTTTCTGGAACTTCAACACAAATACACATGTCCTGAGTTCTTCACAGATGCCTCCAAGACTAACTCCTCTGTGTCCTACGCTGCTGTCGGCCATCCTTTTCGGATGCTGGCCCTCTACATCCACGCACCAGTATCTTCACAGCGGAAGCTTAGCGGATGCCCCCCCCCCCCCCCCCCCAAAGAAAAAGCAGCATTAAGACGAGGTCGGTTGTAATGGAACACGATACGCACGTCTCGCGCGCCCTACATCACCGTGCTGATTGTGGCTCGCAGCGGGGATCCACAGGGGATGCGTACACGCGTCAACTTTTGTGTGCCCCTAACCGACTTTGAGACGGGGACAGTGTGAGCAGTGCAACTCCCTCTGGTCAGTGGACAGTGCCGCTAGCCTATAAAAGTTTGTTTAAAACGCAATCTTTAAACCGAGAGGCGGGATGTACTCGTTGAAGACGCTTGCGCTCTTCCTTGGCTCGCGTCTCGTCGGTGTTACCCGCGCGCTGACTGTATTCTTGAACGCGATCTGTGTTTTGACTCGCACCTCGTAGGTGTTGCTGGTCTTCCACTGCCGACGCTTGCGTTCGGCTTCCCTGAATCGCGCCTCTTCGGCGTTGACGTCACCATTAGCGAATGCGATCGGCTTCGCTAACCCTCGCAACGCCGGTGAGAGCCGGGCCTACAGCCGGCAAAGGTACGCGCACACTAGCGGGAACCATGCCGCGACGGCGTCCCGCCCGTCGGCGCGATCGCGCATGTGGTGCGGCAAGAAGGGGCGCGCTGTCCACATTGTCGGTAAAAAGACTTTAATTGTCGGCGCCCATCTCTCTCGGTAGCGATCACTACGTTCTTTGCACTACTCTTCCACTCCCCTCTCTTGCTCGCTTCCATACTCGTCTTACCCAGATAGGGAAGTGGTATCACTTCCGCTTCCTTCGTCTCTCTGCTTCCTCTCCTTCTTCTAACTCAGACTTCTCAGTCTGTACTGAGACCATTTTGGCATCGCTACATCCACACTCCAGTACGGCAGACAGCCGTCTGCTGCACTTTTGGGAGGCCTATCATGCTGTCCACCGCCGATGGCAGGCGCAGAAACATAATCGCCGCCTGCGCCACATTTGGCCCGGCTCGCGGTGGAACATGGAGGAGCACTGCTCTCTTCTTCTACGACTACAGTGGGGTCAAACGTGCGACTGCATGGCTGGCAAACATGAGACCGCATGACCGGCAAACGTGAGACTGCATGGCCGGCAACCTTGGCTTCCGCGACACTTGGTCGCCTCTCGGGGTGCAGCTTGATCCCACTCATACCAAAGCATTCCAGTGCAAGGATGTCTCCCTTCTACTTCACTCCTCTTTACTAACGGTATTGAGTTTCTAGCCGGGATGGGGACCGCTACATCTGCACTGACCCAGCGCTCAATTTCCTGCTTACTCCGGCTCCTTCAACAGCTACCTTGATGCTGAACTTTTTTTTTGGGGAAAGATTCATGCTGCACTACTCAAGCTCTGCACAACCTCAGCTCAGGGGACGGACCACATTACTAACAAGGCTCTCCGCCACCTAGATACCGCCGCCCTCTAATCCCTTACCAACCTTCTCAACAAACATTGGCAGGCTGGTACTCTTCCCCCTCCGGACCCATGCACGTGTCTCTTTCATCCCCAAACATGTCAAACCCATTTCCCTCGAGCACCTCCGCCCGATCTCTCTGACATGTTGCCTTGGCAAGCTGTTCGAGCATGTCATCGCGGCCTGCCTCCAAACCTACTTGGACGACCATAACCTGTATCCCTACTCCATGTTCGGGTTTCGTCTGCAGTTGTCTAACCAAGATGTCATGCTCCAACCAGCTCTCCGAGGATGTCTTATACCCATCCCACCAAAACGCACTCGAGCTATCCTGAGCGTGGACCTAACCAAAGCATTCGACAATGTACACCACACAGCTATTCTGGACGCTCTCTCCTCCCTTGACATCGGACACCGTGTACATGCTTACATTACTGCTTTCCTCACCTACCGTGCAGCAGAAATTTCATATGGCCCACTTTCTCTCTTCTTTTTCTTTAAGCAGCAATGGTACTCCCCAAAGCTGGGTACTGTCCCCTCATCTTTTTAAGATTAACCTCTTCCAACTGGCACGCAAGCTTAGCACAATATCAGCTCTATCTTATGCTTTCTATGCCGATGACATCACTTTTTGGATGACCACCGGCAATCTTGGCGACATGGAGACCATTCTCCAGTCGGGTGTGGATGCGGTGACATCTCACGCCCGAGCTATCGGGTTGAGCTGCTCTGCGACCGAATCGGGGCTTTTGCTCCTCCTGCCTCAGGGAGTGGCTCCCCTGTCTCCTTCTCCACTCACCGTCTTCGTTGATGGCACACCACTTCCTCTCGTCTCTACCCTTTGCATCCTTGAACTCTTTCTTCAGTCCAGTGGTAAGCACACTACCCTCATCATTCAAACACACCTGTGTTTAACAGGCAGTACGAATTTTCTCAACGTTAACAAAATTCTTGAACAATATTACAACATACTTAACAAAGTGAACGTCTGAAACAAGCATTCCCATCGGCTCCTGGCGTCGTTTACCGACGAACACGCGACCTCAGAGACATGCTTGTAAACTGCCAAATCAATACTTCAACTTCCAACAGTTCATGCCGACCTTGTCTAAAGCCTCCATGTCTTGTCTGAGCGATACGAGAGACAAGCAAGGCAAGCAGCACACAATCGAAGTTTTCAAATAACATATGCGAGGAAATCTAATATGCGATTCCTCTATAGTGGTATATCTAATTTTGTCTGAGAACGTATGCAAACTCTCGCTTGCCATGCACATGCGATAAGTAAACCAATTTATTGGTTCTTGAAAAATGAAATGCACGAAAAATTTGTCCGTGTGTCTAATCCGAATTCAAAACCGAACCTAATTGTGATGCGAATAGAGTGCCAATAAATGACGCTCAATGCGCGTTTTTTTTCATTAAACTTTATGGGTTTTTTTTTTGTTTGTTCGTTTATCATTTGGTGGACCACCGCCTCCTAAGATTTCTTGTGCCTGCCGAATGAGCGCATAACGCCGGTCATCTAGAGCGGCGCTCCCTACGTAGGAATAAGAGTGTTTGTACTTGGCCTTTGAGATCGGCAATTTCGGTGTTTGTTACTAACTTCAAATGATGCCTTGTATTAAAGAGTTGCGTGCTGAATGTCGGCGTCACTTACGTATTGTAATTTATATTTACGTTTACGTCCTTTTAAAAACTTTTTACGTTATTTTTGTTGCATATAGGCTCCAAGAACGTAAAAATCTATTTGAAGACACCCTACTTGAGTAGCGCTCCCACCATAGTTCCGACAACCACTGCTTCCCAAGTGACCACCGATAATCTGGCAGGCACAGGAAATCTAGGAGGCGTTAGGTGGACGAACACGCCACGGTAGAGTAACATACTCTATGGCGACACTTTCATTTTCTCGCTCGTCTGAAAAGTTTTGTTCGCCGTCTTTGAAGCGCCAGTGTGATTTTGAGGCTGCGGAGGTACGTTCACTTTTCTGAGCATACCCGCGAAGGTGTAATCTGAGGCGTCTGACGAGTGGAGTCGCGGTATCAAAAGTACCTACGTGGAACGTCGAAGGCACACAATCGACAGCACACGCACGACGAAATGTGTGTATGTCGTCAAGCAGCCAACATTCGCAGGTGATGTACTGCTGCTTATTTCCTTTGTCACATTTCCAAACTGGTGCATGTTACTTATTTTTTCTTTGACAAGCTCTGTGCAATGTCGTTAGAGATTGGGTTATTACAGGTTCGTAATTCGTACCCCGAGCAATGTGGGCACGGGTAATAACGAAAATGTGATATGTCATTATAAAACTATGGATCATCTCTTCGAAGGGAACCATGATGGGATGCGAAGTAGCCGCGGTGCGTATGGCGTTGACCTGGTTGAAACGGGCGTCGGCGCGGGTTCTGAAAGAACGGTTTCAAGCGAAACTTGGTGTAGGCACCGTACAGTTGAGTAGGCACCGTACAGTTGAGAAAGAAAAAGCAAGATTAAGACGAGGTCGGTTGTAATGGAACACGATACGCACGTCTCGCGCACCCTGCGTCACCGTGCTGATTGTGGCTCGCAGCGGGGATACACAGGGGATGCGTACACGCGTCAACTTTCTGTGTGCCCCTAAGCGACTTTAAGACGGGGACAGTGTGAGCAGTGCAACTCCCTCTGGTCAGTGGACGGTGCCGCTAGCCTATAAACGTTTGTTTAAAACGCAATGTTTAAACCGAGAGGCGGGATGTACTCGTTGAAGACGCTTGCGCTCTTCCTCTCTTCCTTGGCTCGCGTCTCGTCGGTGTTACCCGCGCGCTGACTGTATTCTTGAACGCGATCGGTGTTTTGACTCGCACCTCGTAGGTGTTGCTGGTCTTCCACTGCCGACGCTTGCGTTCGGCTTCCCTGAATCGCGCCTCTTCGGCGTTGACGTCGCCATTAGCGAATGCGATCGGCTTCGCTAACCCTCGCAACGCCGGTGAGAGCCGGGCCTACAGCCGGGAAAGGTACACGCACACTAGCGGAACCATGCGCGAGACGCGATTCTTGTAGAAGAGATACATTGCGTAAACCGCATCTCCATCCTCCGTGCCGATCACTACTTTCTTTGCACACCTCGCCATCCCCTTCTCATGTCGCTTCCCTACTCGTGTACCCAAGTGCGGGAATGTATTCCTCCGCTTCCTAGTCGTCTATGCTTTACTATTTTCTACATAGCTTTGCTTGATGAGAAAGATTTGACTTGCCTTTGTGGGGATTCGCTGTAAATGCATTAATGAGTTTAGCCTTTTAGCACCTGCATATTAGATATGGTATTAAGAAAGTTAAGAGAGACAGACAGGTGTGCAATTGAAGTCGGGTCAATTATGTGTCAAGTTCTCATATTTCCTGCAAGTTTATTAAGGAGTAGTTTACTTTTATTATGTAATCATTTCAAAAGCAGGCTTTAGTATAATGAATTTCCTTACGTAACAAAGCACTCGTCTTTTTATGATGGCATTATCAGAAGCAGTGTATATTTAACAGACGAAAGGAAGTTCTACCCTAGTATAGGCTGGGTCATTCCATGCCAAATGTCCCAGCCATTTTGGCCACAATCTCGAATGTGGTAGAACAAAATATTGTCGATTTATTCCTTGGAAAAGAGCTAATTGGCAGAATATTTCAAAGAGGGAAAATTTTTTGGTCACTTGAGAGCCGTCCGAATTTCGCAAAATGTCGGAACAGTGAGACTTGTTAAAGAAGTAATTCTGAGAGTATCATTTGTTGGTTCATTTGAAAAATTGATGTACATAATAATCCAAAGCATTTGTTTGAGGAACTTCAGTCTCGCTAATATTGCTTAAATTTTTCTGCCAGGTACGCCTACTCAAATTTTGCCTATATAATCTCTGTTTGAATATTTTTTTCTTGTAATGCCGTACCATCTGTGAATACCCCAGTAATCAACAATTACTGTACCGAAGGTACTTTTGTCAATAAATGTATTTTCAGACCACTGAAATTCATAAATCTTGAGAGAAAAAATGGCAGGCCTGCACGGAAAGCGTGGCCCAGTCACAGCGTAAGCTGGATGAGTGGCAATTCAAGAACCATTCGTAAACTCTCTTGAGACTACTTCAGGAAGACCTCAATGAAACGAACCTCGCGGGATTGCTGAAATTATTCATGTCATATGAAATTTGTTTCACCAGAAAACATGGAAAATTAGTATGCAAGAAAAGATGTGTGTTGTATATTTTCTCTCTTTGTGTCTCAGAATTTATCCAGCTCGATAGAACAGTGGCTACGTTGCTCGGCTGCTGACCTGAATGTTGCAGTTTCGATCCCGGCTACGGCGGTCACATATAGATGGAGGCAAACTGGTAGAGGCCTGTGTGCAGTGCGAGTTCAGTGCATGTTGAAGAACAGCAGATGGTAAAAATTTATGGAGTCCTCCACTTTGGCGTGTGTCATAATCATCTCATGGTTTCGAGATATTAAACTCCGCATATTTTTATGTGCGTCAGGACTGCAGAAATATAATGAGCAGGCTCTGAGTGACTGACACAAAGATTTTCCGACGCCAGTGATCATACTTGTACCCGTAAGTATAGGTATGTGCGCACGTGTGTAATTACTGAACCTGTTGCATCATGATTTGTGACAGTAAGTAGCCGCTTCAAAATAACAGTCCACTTTTTCGCATGACACCAGGGTTCCGCGATGAAAGTGACTTGAAAAAGCAGGAAAGAAAATTTGAAAACTGCTGACCCGTGTTTTTATCATTTTTGTTATCGTAGTTGTCTTGAAGATGTCCTTCGGGCGACAAACAAACGTGCCCGCACAATCACAAAAGTTTAATAGCGTACAGTGCAAGTAGGAGATTTCGAATGTGTGCCCATCCCGAACAGTCATGCATCTTGACATTGTGAAGCCTAGCTTCTTGGCCAAGACCATCCGCTTGTCCTTCCGGTTCCCGTTCAGTCCACCATTCTTAGGATGTCTAATACAAGGAAAGGACTTGCATCGACATGGCAGGAGCGTGTCAACACAGTATAATGACGCATTCAAGAAAAAAAAACTAATGCTGAAGTTTTTTGTAATTTATATGTGAATTGAATACGCATAAAGGTGCATTAAGGCACTCGAGGTTCATGCACGTCATCTCAAAGACTAGGTTGTCCTGCATATGTTCAACTTGCGGCTCTTTTCCCATTAGATAATATGGCAGATTCGTTAACTGAGTTGCCCATTGTCATGAATAGGAAACTCCAAAAGCTATTGTAATAACTCATGCTTCCATGTGACAATAACTTACGTGCTGTCAATTGAGGTAGGAAGTTGCTCTTAAATTGGATTCTGCGACATTATGTAAATTGCATCTTAATGTGAACCAAAAGGAAGATTTCCTCAAATTGCTGATTTTTGCTTACATTGTTTACAAAATTCAGTGGTCTGAAAATACTTTCACTCAGAAATATATAACTTGTAGAGTAATTAGTGATTGCTGGGGTATTCATACATAACAGGGCATCAATAAAAGAGAAAAAATGCAAACATAGAATATTCTCAAAAAATTGCTGGAGCCATATATGACAGATTCGAACCATTTATCCAAATGCTTCATTTTAATATGTACACAGACCTTTGTTTTGAAACAAGAAAGGATAGTCTCAATAGCGTTACTTGGACGCAATTATACGAAATTGGGAAGGCTGCCAGGTGACCAAAACATTTTTTCTCTCTAGAATATTCTATCAATACATAGCCTTTGTAAAAGAAGTCAGCACAATTTTTCCATAATGTGTGAAATGGTCACAAACAAGACTGGGACATTTGGCAAGGAATCGTGTTACAACAGTTTCATTGCTTCCTCAAAGGAAGATTCAGGCTAGAGTAGGAAACTTTACATTTCCTGATGCGAGTGTTGAGAATGCTACAGCTTTTTTGGGAAAACAGATTTAAGTAATGTGCCACATAGCAGAGTAACAACTTTCTTGGCAGTGGCTAGGAACATGGGAGTCGTGCAGTGTCTCGCATAAGATACAGGGGCAGTTCCTTTTTTCGTATTGCTTAATATGTTTGTATTACTTTTTGTAGTTGTTACGTACACGTCACTTAGGAACTACAAGTACTGTTCTCTATTTTTTCTGTACTTCATTCTCTCCTGGCTTTTTGGGAGCACATTAAAGAACCTCAGGTGGTCGAAATTTCCGGAGCCCTCCACTAAGGCGTCTCTCATAATCACGTGGTGGTTTTGGGACGTTAAAGCCCACACAACCTGGCTTCACGAAATGAAGTATATTAGAATTTTGCAAAATTATTATGGCACGCATACTTCTATTGGACCGATGTGACGCCCTGATGTCATTATATAAATGTTTTGAGAACTGGGAAGCATCTGCTTGAAAAAGGGAAGGAATTGTAATTGCACACAAAACATGGCTATGAGAACAGTTGGCATATTTTGTGTAATCTCGTGCTCTTTGCATAGAATAAGCTGTTCTTGCACCCTCATTTAGCTCATTTTATAAATGTACCGTAATGAATATAAAACTGTGCTAGCTTTCATTGTGCCTTTTTTGCACTTGCAATTCGTATAAGTTGTTTCCAGGGATGGAATGCTACAGATAACTCTTATTGTTCCTTCATTCCTGGTGGAACCAGATACAACAAATACTGCACCCTGCATACTCTTGTAGCTCAAGAATTGACATGTTGAGCTTCTGACAAATTTCCCGTGGTTCATTCTGTCTGTCATTATAGTTGCCCTGAAACTACAACTTTCGGTTGCCTTAAAGGAACAAAATGATTTTACTTGCAATTCACAAATGAAAGGTGAAAAATGAAAGGTCACAATAGAAACAACTTGATATCTTTGTGATAATGTGCTTGCCAGACTGTTGCTCAATTTGATTAAAGCAATCAATGTTTGAGAAGTGTTTGAATGAGTGTGCCAATTTCACTTACATTACTAGTGATAGTGTTTTGGCCTTTAATTAGCTTGCCTTGAGTTGCTTGGACTTTCAGATGTGTTGAGTTTGTTTAGATAAGGTTGTGATGAAACAAAAATACTCGGGGCATTTTAATTTGTTGGACATGTGTATTTGTGCTGCTCCTTCTCAATGCCAGTAATGATAGCATGTATCCCTAAGTATGTGAT